ATAACAAAGAGTGAAAAATTTAAGGGGGTCTGAATACTTTCCGTACCCACTGTATATTTGCTGGAAATTCAGCTTTGACATCACAGGAATAAATTACACTTTAAAATATATTAAAACAGAAAAATTTTATTTTAAATTGTACTAATATTTCACAATATTACTGTTTTTACTATATTTTTCACCAAATAAATTCAGCCTTGGTGAGTATAATAGACTTCTTTCAAAAATATACAAAATTTTACCGACCCCAAACTTTTGAACAGTTGCGTAGTTCAAATTTGTGGTCGTAGTCCAAGTTAAATACAAAAGTGTGTCAAAATCTAGTCAAAATCTACATTTTATGATGAGCTTGGTCACAAAAAGTACTTACAAACCACTCACCACTACACGCAGCATTTTTCACCAAATAAATTCAGCCTTGGTGAGTATAATAGACTTCTTTCAAAAACATACAAAATTTTACCGACCCCAAACTTTTGAACAGTTGCGTAGTTCAAATTTGTGGTCGTAGTCCAAGTTAAATACAAAAGTGTGTCAAAATCTAGTCAAAATCTACATTTTATGATGAGCTTGGTCACAAAAAGTACTTACAAACCACTCACCACTACACGCAGATCCTGCTTGGAACAGCTCAGTGGTCAGCAGCACAATACCATAATATGAAAAAGCATTACAAAACCTGTGTGTGTAAAACAAACATAAAGTAGGTGAGTTTTTAGTTTTATGTTTTTTAAATTTTATATGGAAGGATTTGACCATTTTTAACAATCTGCATACCAGATAAACCACACTAAGAGTGTTGTTTTTCGGTATTCTGGAATAAAAAGATCTCTAATCCTCCCACGATCAGTCTAGAACATATAAACACAAATCATTTGCTACTCTAGTTTATGAGAAATTCTTCAATAATGTGTGAGGGGGAGATTTTGAGGAAAGATTTAGGACTGGTAGACCCACATACCTGTGTGTTGGCTATAAGTCTTCCAGCAGGCACAGAGCTCCCATTAGCTGCTGCTATACATTTCAAAGTGTCCAGGGCCTTGTCTTCTCTGCCTCTCAGTACATCAAATCTAGCACTCTCGGGTAACCACTACAGACAAGTGCCCACAATTCACAATCAGACAGTAGACTTAATATGAATTCTATCTGAATTTAAGGCGTCTAAACATGAGCCTTGTGTCTAGTAACAGTTGAAATATTGTGACAGCCATACATACCCAGCAGGAGGCAGCAAAGACAACTAGAGGAAGGGTGGAGAAAGCTAGCAGCCATTTCCAGCCTAATGTGGGCATGACCACCATAGCCAGTAACACTTCAAATACAGCACCCAAGGCCCAGAACACCTATTAGAACAGAAGATTTATTTCTTTTCTTTTTTTAATAAATTATCATCACGGCATGTTTATGTTATATTTAACCTAATGTACACATTGCTTCAGTCAATTACAAAATCAACCAACTATCTCGGTAAAAAATTTGAGTATACTGAAAAATTGCATAGTGAAAAATGTGAGCAATAGTTGAATAAACATTCATCTGAATTACCCCTAAAAGGATTATGGATATCCCTCTGGATTTAATCGGGAGGAATTCAGTATATAATGTCACTCTGTAAGGGAAGGAATTAAAATATATGAAAAATATATCAAATAAAACATAAAATATTATATAAAAATAGAGAATATAAGTATGGGGTCGTTGCAATGTTTTTGAAGAGGTCTCTTTTGCTCACCAAGGCTACATTTATTTGATCAAAATACATTAAAAACAGCAATATTGTGAAATATTATTACCATTTAAAATAAACATTTACTATTTTAATATAATTTGCATTTTAATTCATTCCTGTGATGTGACTCCAGTCTTCAGTGTCACTTGACCCTTCAGAAATCATTTGTGTATTCTAATTTGCCGCTCAAGAAACATTTCTTATTATAATTCATGTTGAAAACAGTTGTGCTGCTTTATATTTTTGTGGAAACCGTGATACATTTCTTTCAGGATTCTATGATAAATAGATAGCTTAAAAACAGCGTTTCTTTGAAATATACATTTTGTAACATCAATTCATTTTTACTGTGACTTTTGCAAAAATCTTACTGACCCCAAACTTTTGAACTCTAGCATATATAGATACAGATAATTGTATGTTTTTAACACATGGTGATGTAAAAGCAATGGCCAAAACTACAATCGGCCAAAGATCAAGCAAGTTTCAAATCTAGAACATGAAAAAGTACCATAAGGAAGTACTGAATTCTAACGGAATGTTGCTCACTTAATGTGACCTTTGAGTTTGTAATAAAACCAAGAGTCACACTTCACTGATGGAAAAACTCACGACTGAGGGGCTCCTCCAAGGCCAAACCCCACGAGGCCTCGCAAGACTAAGATCCAGCTGTAAGCAGGTGCGAAAGCACTGAGAAGCCCATAGTGCAATGTCCACAGCATGCAGAGTATTAAACACTAAAAGATGGAGACGGCGATGCTGTCAGTGAGGCAACAATGACTGCTTTAAGTTCTTAGTTACATAAAAATGCTTGCATTGACATTATTCATTTACTCATTTCACTTTAAACCAAACATACCACTTTTCGGCCGTACTTGTCTGAAATGTTCCCCCAAAGTGAGGAGCTGATCATCATTCCAATGAACACTGTCTAACAAGGTACAAAATGACAATAATCCATAAGATTCAAAAGATTAAATATTATGAAAGTCTTAGCAACACAGAGTGTGAAAAATCAACATTCTACCGTAAGCTATATGTCCAAATG